CTATATCTTTTCATGATTGTCTTAGTCCATTCAGACTGCTATAATAAAATAGCTTAGACTGAGTAATTTAAAAACAATAGAAGTTTATTGCTCACCATTTTGGAGGCTAGAAGTGCAAGATCAAGGCAGCAGCAGATTCGGTGTCTGCCGAGGGCTTGCTCTTGGCTTCATAAATAGTGCTGTTTTGCTACATCTTCACACTGCTGAGGGGCAAACAGGCTCCTTTGGGCCATTTTGTTTTCCAAATATAATGGAAACATTTATTTACTCATTCATTTATTTATTTATTCATTTGCATTTATCCTTTGAACAACTACTGTTTGCAAACAAAAAAAAATATGTTATTTGCTGTTAATTTGATAATGAAGATAACAGTTCTATATGAAAAATCTATAGTTGGTCTCACAAGCAAAGTGTGCTGGGAAAGCAAAAACAGAAGGAAAAAACAAATTGTTTTCATATTTTCTCTTTTGAGTAAGACACTATCCTCTAGGATTTCAGTCTCCTACCAGTGATACAACTAGATATTTATATCTCCCAAATCAAAGTACAAACTTCAGCAATAGAACCTTGTTCTTCATTATTTTCTTTTATTTTCAGCTTTTATTTTTGATTCAGGAGATACATATGCAGATTTAATTAGCTGGGTATGTTGCATGATACCTCAGGCCTTTTTTATAAGAGTACTAATCTCATTCATGAGGGTTCCACCCTCTGACCTAATCATCTTCCAGAGGCCCCATTTCATAATACCACCAAATCGAAGGTTGAGTTTCAACATATAAATTTGGGCGGAGCCAGGCACAGTGGCTCATGCCTGTAATCCCAGGCATGAGATTTGAGAGGCTGAGGTGAGCAAATCATTTGAGGTCAGGAGGTCGAGACCAGCCTGGCCAATGTAGCAAAACCCTGTCTCTACTAAAAATACAAAAAAATTAGCCAGTATGGTGGCATGCATCTCTAATCCTAGCTATTTGGGAGGCTGAATCAGAAGAATTGCTTAGCCGGGGAGGCGGAGGTTGCAGTGATAAGAGATGGTGCCACTGCATTCCAGCCTGGGCAAGAGAACGAGACTCCACCTCAAAAAAAAAGAATTTGAGGGGAGCAGAAACATTCAGACATAGCAAAGATCACTGGGGGTCATCCCAGAAAAGAGAAATTTGATTCACAGATAGTTTATTAATAGGTGTTTTTTTCCTATTATATACTAGAGGGAGAAATTGACTTTAAAATGTGCTTCCGTTATTAGGTGAAAATGTAAAGAACCTAAATCTCGGCCGGGCGCGGTGGCTCAAGCCTGTAATCCCAGCACTTTGGGAGGCCAAGGCGGGTGGATCACGAGGTCAAGAGATCGAGACCATCCTGGTCAACACGGTGAAACCCCGTCTCTACTAAAACTACAAAAAATTAGCTGGGCATGGTGGCGCGTGCCTGTAATCCCAGCTACTCAGGAGGCTGAGGCAGGAGAATTGCCTGAACCCGGGAGGCGGAGGTTGCGGTGAGCCGAGATCGCGCCATTGCACTCCAGCCTGGGTAACAAGAGGGAAACTCCGTCTCAAAAAAAAAAAAAAAAGAACCTAAATCTCCAACAATATGGTACTCATTAAATATTCATTCAGAGGGCTGGGCAGAATTGCTCACACCTGTAATCCCAGCACTTTGGGAGGCCAGAGCAGACGGATTACCTGAAGTCAGGAGTTCGAAACCAGCTTGGCCAACATGGTGAAACCCTGTCTCTACTAAAAATACAAAAACTAGCTGAGTGTGGTGGCAGGCGCCTGTAATCCCAGCTACTCAGGAGGCTGAGGCAGAAAAATCGCTTGAACCCAAGAGGTAGAGGTAGCAGTGAGTTGAGATCGTACCACCACAGTCCTGGACGACAGAGCTAGACTCTGTCTCCAAAATAATAATAATAAAAAAAAAGATATCCATTCAGCTAAGTGCTGTGCAGCCAGTTAAAAGTAGATTTTAGGCTGGTCATAGTGGCTCATGCCTGTAATCCCAACACTTTGATATGCCAAGGCAGGAGGATCACTTGAGGTCAGCAGTTCAAGACCAGCCTAGGCAACATAGTGAGACCCCATTTCTACAGTGTCTAGAAGAAAATACACTTTCTAAAACCAAAAAATAAATGAATAAATATATATATATATACACACACACACACACACACACACATATATACATATATACATATATATGTAATTTTTTAAAAATAGGATTTTATAATACTATTTAATGACATGAAAAAATGGTCATAATAATGATGATAGCTAACATGTATTGGGTGTCAGCTTTATGCCAAGCACCTTTCTAAGTGCTTTCCTTGTATTAATTAAACAGGTTAATCCTCACAGCAGTCTTATGTGAGAGATACCATTGTTATCCCCATTTTAAAGGTGAGGAAACTGAGGCTCACAGCATTTAAGTAGCTTGCCTAAAGTCAGCTGGTGAGAGGCAGAGATAGAATATAAACTCGGGCAATTTGGCTCTTTTAAAGCCCTTGCTCAGACATCATTACATATCTCTGTAAATTTTTTTATGGAACTAGACAAATTATTTTTCATTTATCTAGAAAAGAAAACGTGTTAAAAATAATCAAATTTTGACAAAGCAGAATTAGTGGACGTATCCCACCAGGTATGAAAATATGCTATAAGATATAGTAATTTTTAAAATATCACAGTGTAGCTGAAATAGAGAAGAAATAGACTAAATCAGAAGAGCATGGCACTTTTTATGTTCACAGTAAGAAGTCTGGATACACCTAAATACTAAGAGTGATAATCACTGATAGAGGAATTATAGTTGGTTTTTCTTTCTTTCCTCTTTTTTGTTTGTACTTTATTTTTTTAATTATCTATAGTGCCAAGAGTTCAAGACCAGCCTAAACAACATAGAGACCCTGTCTCTTTTTTTTTTTTTTTTTTTTTTTTTTTTTTTTTTTTTTTTTTTTTTTTGAGACGGAGTTTCGCTCTTGTTACCCAGGCTGGAGTGCAATGGCGCGATCTCGGCTCACCGCAACCTCCGCCTCCCGGGTTCAGGCAATTCTCCTGCCTCAGCCTCCTGAGTAGCTGGGATTACAGGCACGCACCACCATGCCCAGCTAATTTTTTGTATTTTTAGTAGAGACGGGGTTTCACCATGTTGACCAGGATGGTCTCGATCTCTTGACCTCGTGATCCACCCGCCTTGGCCTTCCAAAGTGCTGGGATTACAGGCTTGAGCCACCGCGCCCGGCCGAGACCCTGTCTCTACACAAGAAAATTTTTTAATTAACTGGATGTGGTGGTACGTACCTGTAGTCGCAGCTACTCAGGAGGCTGAGTTGGGAGGATCACTTGAGCCTAGGAATTTGAGTTTGCAGTGAACTGTGATTGTGTCACTGCCCTCCAGCCTGGGTGACAGAATGAGACTCTCTCGAAAATATGGCAACACAGAAAACCCAAATTATCTATAGTGAGCATTTTTAAATCATCCAATATTAGCAAGTTTATTTCTAATGCTTTATAAGTTCAAGTTTTAACAATATTTTATTGGTGTAACATATTGCTGTTTGATTTTATGCATCATGTACCCTGCATTTTCTAAGTTGCTTACTCTGCAGAGTTAATTCTCTAAAGTGTTCAGTATATTGTTCATTTGCTCAAGGCCTAAATTAACCACTCACACAGAATCACCAATCCAGTCTTCCTTTTGGTAAAGATGGAGAAAAGACAATGGAATTGTAGCCCTCTTCTGGCTTAGGGTTCAGGAGAAGGATTTCAGAACTTTTTACTTGTTTTTAAAACCCAAATTGTTTATTGATGATATAAAGGCTATTGGATTACATATCTGTGTGTGTGTGTGTGTGTGTGTACAGCTTCTGTCTGATCACCTCACTCAACTCTGTAGTAAATTATAATAGTTTTTCAATTGATTTTTTTAATTGCATTTTAGGTTTTAGGGTACATGTGAAGAACATGCAAGATTGTTGCATAGGTACACACGTTGCAGTGTGATTTGCTGCCTTCCTCCCCATCACCTATATCTGGCATTTCTCTCAATTGATTTTTTTTAGTGAGACCCTGTCTCTACAAAAGAAAATTTTAAAATCAGTCGAGCATGGTGGCTTGTCCCCATAGTCCCAGCTGCTTGGGAAGCTGAGGCCAGAGGATCACTTGAGGCCAGGAGCTTGAGACAGCCTGAGCAACATAGTGAGACCTTGTCTCTTTGGGAAAAAAAAAAATCATGAAGTACTTGATTTGGGGATATTGCCTCTTCCCCCAAAAAATTCTTTTTTGTTTTTGAGACGGAGTCTCACACTGTCGCCCAGGCTGGAGTGCAATGGCATGATCTTGGCTCACTGCAACCCCTGCCTCCTGGGTTCAAGCGATTCTTCTGCCTCAGCCTCCCAGGTAGCTGGGATTACAGGCGTAAGACCCTGTGCCCGGCCTCTTCCCTCAAAATTTCTGTATCACTTTAAGTGCCAGTCTTAGCTCAAGCTGCCGTAATAAAATACTGTAAACTGGGTAGCTTAATCAAACAGAAATTTATTTTCTCATAGTTTGCAGGCTGGAAAGTCCAAGATCAAGGTACTGTTTGATTCAGTTCCTAGCAAAAGCTCTTCCTGGCTTGCAGAGGCTGCCTAATTACTGGATCTTCATATGGCAGAGAAATAAAGAGAAATTCCTCTGTTTTTCTCTTCCTCTTCTTCCAAAGCCCAGTCCTATAAGATTAAGACCCCACTCTTATGACCTCATTTAACGTTAATTACCTCCTGAAGGCCCTGTCTCTGGGTATGGTGACATTGGGTTTAGGGCTTCTACATATGAATATTGGGGGGCACAATTCACCCCATAGTGGTGCCTAAACTCTTTCCAGTATCCTCAGAAATCCTATATGTAGTTTATTTTACTGCAGACAGGATTAGTTTTATCCTTTCTTATGAAATCCTTAAAATATTCATTACAGTGTGTCATAGAAACTTAAATTTAACCTTATGAATAATTTCTTCCTAGACACAAAATCGAATGAAGCTAATGGCCGACAACTATGAGGATGACCACTTCAAATCCTCCCATTCCAATCAAACAAATCACAAGCCCTCCCCAGACCAGGTAAGATGGCTCTAGAATGTTTTATTTTAAAACCCATAAACTTAAATTTTGACGTGTTTTGTACTAGCATGTTGCAAATTCTGAGATACAAGTTAGAAGAAGAAAAATAAATAGCTAATTCAGTTCTGAAAACTATTCTTTTAAGAAAATTCAATTTCTTTATAGAAAGTTAGTGATTCTGAATATTTTAAGAGCAGAGAATATTTGTAAGACTTGAACAATAAAGAATCCTTGAATTGGAGAAAAAAAATTAACCTCAGAGATACATACTAATTTTTAGCTGTCTTGATTTCCTTTTTAAGGAAATAGTGCCTTCTTAGAAAAACAAGACTCTTCCATTGCAAGCTTATTGAGGCACAGCTTAATTTAGAGGTTATTTCTGTTTAATTGTAAAGCATGAACTCTGTGTTCATTACCTATTAAAAGTGAAGATTGAAACTTAGTTCTTCACTCCTTGTCCTGGTGGATCCCTCCAGCATGTCATGCTCAAGGAAAATTGTTGCCTTCAACTTCTCATCAATGCAAAAGAGACATTGATGAATCTGAAGGGAACCATATTCAATTCTAGTTTCTTGGAAGAAGGGAACTCTCCCAGAATCTTGAAAATGATGGATGGGATAGAGTGGTGAACAGATTACCTCATATCCCATTGCCAAAAATCAAATTTTAACATCTCCATCACACCCAGCCTTAAAATATATAGCTAAGGGAAAAAAACAGTCAAGTAATTACCTCCATATGACTAAAGCATTGAGGAAAACTCCTGCTAAACATCTCCACTAAATAATAGCTATGGCATTGTCTTAGCAGAAGCAGCAGAAATAATGCAATGAAAGCAGCAATGGTATTCAAATTGCTGTTGTTTCTAAGATTCAGAAGGTTTAGTCCTATTATGATGACATTTACTAAGCCAGTTGAGGCAAGTTTTGTATTTTAGAAGGAAAACAGTATCAGTGTTTAATGTGGGCAAAATGGAGAGCTGTCTGCCTGGCATCAGCAGTCCTTCCCTGCCAAGAGATCATTTTACTTTTTCTGCCTACTTCCTGATACTTGGAATTGAATTTATGCCAATGTTAGATTCCTCATGAAAACAGTTTTTTGATAATAGAAAGAACTGGATGCCTAGAGTAGGAAGAGGCAAACAGAAAGATTGAAGGAAAAGCTAAACATAAAGAAAAACCTCCAACTTGATAATTTTGCCCAGATCTAGCCCTGAGATAGAAACGGCATCTTGGAAAGTAGGAAGAATAGAAGTATAATGACAAACTACAGTTGTTCCTCAGTGTCCTCGGGGGATTGGTTTCAGGACAAACCCACTCACAAATACCAAAATCTGTGGTTGCTCAAGTCCCTTATATAAAATGGCATAGTATTTGCAAATGAGCTATATACATCCTCCCATACAGTTGATTTTGTTTTATTTTGTTTTGTTTATGAGACGGAGCGTTGCTCTGTTGCCCAGGCTGGAGTACAGTGGTGTGATCTCAGCTCACTGCAGCCTCCACCTCTGGGTTCAAGTGATTCTCTTGCCTCAGCCCCCTGAGTAGCTGGGATTACAGGTGCCTGCCACGACGCCTGGCTAATTTTTGTGTTTTAGTAAAGATGGGGTTTCACCGTGTTAGCCAGGCTGGTCTGGAACTCCTGACCTCAGGTGATCTGCCTGCCTTGGCCTCCCAAAATGTTGGGATTACAGGCGTGAGCCACGGCACCTGGCCCTTCCCATATACTTTAAATCATCTCTAGATTACTTATAGTACAGTATAAATACTATGTAAATAGTTGCTAGACTCTTTTTTTTTTTTTTTTGAGACAGTCTCGCTCTGTTGCCCAGGCTGGGGTACAGTGGCGTGATCTCAGCTCACTGCAGCCTCCACCTCTGGGTTCAATCAATTCTCCTGCCTCAGCCTCCCAAGTAGCTGGGACTACAGGCATGTACCACCACGCCCAGCTAATATTTGTATTTTTAGTAGAGATGGGGTTTCACCATGTTGGCCAGGCTGGTCTCAAACTTCTGACCTTGGGCTCCGCCTGCCTCAGCCTTCCAAAGTGCTTGAATTACAGGCTTGAGCCATGGCGTCTGGCCTGTTAATACTGTATTTTTAAAAATTAGTTTATTTTTATCTTGCATTGTTATTTTTTATTGCTTTTTATTTATACATATATGCATATATATTTTTTATCCACAGTTGGTTGAATCCACAGATGTGGAACCCGCAGATACAGAGGACCAACAGTAACTACTAATTTTGATAGTTTAGGGAATTACAGTCTGTATAAGAGAGTCAAGAAATTCTCTTCTGCTACATTATGCTTATGTCTTTGTTTTAAATACTAACCACCTCTTTTTCATTCCATGCTGCTCTGGGGCGTTGCCCCCTTGTCATCTCTCTCCCTGTAGGATGAGGAGGAGGGTATATGGGCATAGCCAATCAGAGGCTCTTAGTTCAGCCATTTTGTTCAGAACGGTGAGAAACAGCTTTCCTTAACTATAGAAATGGTTTTTGTTTGTTTTCATTTTTCTTTCTACACGGTAACTCTCACGTCTCATTTCTCTGTAATTCATGAAATCCCTGGTGTGCTTTCTGTTTTTTCATTTTCACATGATTCTTGTGTGTATTGCTGTGCTTCTGACAGAGTGGGGTTTGGATTTTGTGGCTTTCTTTTTTTTTTTTTAATCTCTGTGTGTTAATAGTCACTTCTGTAATTTCTTTTCATACATTTTTGGGAGAACTTCTAGGACATGTAACTAAATTTCTCCAGTTGTGATTTTGTTAATAAATTACCCTTTCTAGGGTGATTTTACAGTGTCCTGGCAAGGTTTATAGTAACTTATATGAAACTGGCAATAGAAAATTGATCCAATACTCTTGCCATTGGCCCAAGTTTGAGGTATACTTTTTATGATGATTAACTATAAATGCATGGTGTTTAAAAAAAAAACTGTACCGTGAACTAAAACCTCCTTTTGTTTCTATCTATAGAAGAATGAGCTCCACAGTCAGCACCTAGGACACATCCCATAGGGCTTTGACATTACCCTCAAACTACCTCTAAAAATAGGGAGAAGCAAAGTACAAGGAGACTTTTTTTAGAAGTCATTCTAAAAATTCTTTTCCCTCCCTTTTCATGGATTGTGGCTGTGTTCAGCAGTTGCCAGGACACTGTTTAGATTCTCCTTTTCAGACCAATTGGCTGGAAAGTGTAGTCCAGCTGTGGCAGTATCTCCCCTTGATCTGATGCCCTTGAGGCTTGACTAAGGAAATACTTTTCTTCGAAGAAAAAGTAATAATTATGATTAATAAGTTCACACATATTGGTGGCCTTGCACTCCCTGGATTCACTGCCCATGCTTATCAGTGATCTCACTCTTTTGAAGTCAGTTCTCCCTGAAATGTCTTTGTCTTGGTGTTAAACTGCTTAAAATGATGAGGACATGTGCAGACCTCTTAATTGCCAAACACAACCAATAAGGATGAAGAGGTAAGTTGTGGAAAGGGGCCCTGGACTGTGAGGTGGGAAGCTTTCCAGGTGGCTTTATCCTGAGGGCATGAATGATGGTGAAATGCACAGGATCACCCAGAAAGCTCTTCAGGTTAGAATGCTGCACGTCAGAGAAAGCTAACGCTGAGAGCAATCAGTGTGCTAATTTGTCTGCACTCTGCAAGGGTAGGTATTTGTCATCATCAGCCATGTGAGGCCATGCAGTAGCTGGATGTAGTTTACTGGTCTCTTAGAAATGAGCATGCCTCTACCTTGTCTATTTTGGCAGAACATAGGAGCTTCTTAGCTTCCCACAGCTGGAAGCACCACATACGTGGACACGATTATATTTTTGATGCAAATCCTTTTTCTGGCCAATCAGAGGAAGGCTGTTAGTATTCTGGGAAACAGGCTTATAGGTAACTTCACCAGGAGACTAAAAAGTAAACAAATCAGCACATAAACTTGTTCCTGAAATCTTCATTTTCCTTGCTCTACCAAAATAGAATAACTCTTAGCTTATTCCAATTATCGCACTATTGAGCATACTGCACTAATATATTAACTTTCATTGGTTTAATACCATGCATTTGCAATTAGCCAGCCATAGCTAGGATTTCTATGATATGGTGTTTCCAACTTTATAAAATATGCTGTAAACCTCATTATATCACAGAGATTTTACCTAAAGAAATGTATGAGTGATCCCTAAAACACTGCAGAAGTTTTGACTGGCTATCCACTTTCCTTCTCCTGTTTCCTTACTAATTTTACAGAAAATAGATTATCTTTAAAAATTCAAACTTTTGAAATTGATGATTTACCTTATCAAACTTAAGAACATACGTTTTGCATCTGAAACATTTTCTAGGACACCAGTACATATTGATCAAGTATGAGCCTTACTTGATATAATCCATAGATGGGAAGAGAATCATAGATGTTCTGAGCTGGAAAGGATTCTGAAGTTAGTCCATTTCAGGAGAGGTGGTAAAGCATAACGCTTAAGAGTGTAGGCTTTGGAGCAGGATGCCTATATTCAAATTCTAACACCACCATGTACTAGCTTCTGATTTGGACAAGGTATGTAATCATGCTATACTTCAATTCTTCATCATTAGGATGGAAGTCGTTGTGGGGAGTAGATGAATTGTAAGACACGTGGACTCTAGAGCCAGACTCCACAGCTTTTAATCTAGACCTCTCCACCTGCCCTATGTCCTTGGGAAAGTAATTTAAACTCTCTGAACCCCAGTTCCTTTATCTAAAAAGGGGGCTTGATAATGCCTACTTCATAGGATTGTTGGATAGATTAATAAGTTGCTATCAGTAGAATGTTTTGAATAGTACTGTACATGCTGTTATTGTGTGCTGTTATTATTTCTATTGCTGCTGTTGTCATCATTAACTTAGATCCACCTCCAGGAAATAGTAAGTTTTCAATAAAAGTTACTGTTGTTATTAATATCATCATCTAATCCAGTGCCCTCATTTTATAGGTCAGGATGCAAAACAAAGAT